TTTGTTTACAGCTGTTGATTTTGTTAGTCACATATTTGGGACCCCCCTGGCTACAGGATTATAAAGTAAAAAATGTATTAGCCGTGTTATGCCTAATGCGCATGCTCTGAAAGAATAGCCTCATACGCAGGTGAGATTTTGTTGATATGTCATCGCTGTCATCATTAGTGTATTTTCTCATCTTTTGTTTAATCTTAGTATTTTCTAGTTCTTCCAAGTATTTTTATTGTTTTTCTTGGTGCTGTGCTGTGGTGGTCTATTTATCGAGTGTTTTTTTCTTCAAGTGGTTTATTATAGACGTACTCTTAACCATAACCAAACTTTCCTTGAATGATATCCTGTTGCGAGGCTACTTCGCTTAATGCGCATGCTCAGTAACATTGATATAATTTTAATGTATTAAGTACTATGAAAGTCAATACTGTGCAATTAACTTAAATATATAAATTCTATAATTCTATTAGTTTGTCACTTGGGGTTTGAAACTTTTTAAATATTTCTAATATTGCCAGAGTATTACGATATTTAAGGTCATGACAATGAAGCCATTTTTTTGGCACTAATGTCTAAGGTACATAAGGTCGAATATCGATCTAGTAAAAAATATATATAAATATTCTTCATGACGATGTGCACTATGGGGTTGCCTATTATTTGGCGTATGTGGCGTCACTACTAAAAAGGCCCATGTGTATTCTTTTAGCTACATACTGAATATATCAACGAATAATCGATATAAAAAAAACCCAACGCAGATACTCGTATCTTCTGATGAAGCAATTGTAATGAATACATCTGAATCTGAAAGGAGAAATTGATATATTAATTGGTAAATATTTTTAAAATTATGTAGTTTACCTAGTTTTTTATTTTTTAATAAAATTAACATTTTAAAAAATATATTTTGTATTAATAAAATCCTCAAAAAAAGGTGACTTATTAAGCATACTTTTACTCACTTTTAAATAGGTGAGTAGATCATCTATTAAAAAATTAATTTCACCTTTTTTTTTGTGTTAAACCAGTTCCACACCAAAAGCTTTTCTGATCAAATTTGTACTGTAAACTATAGATATTTTTTAGAGAAATACCGTTTCACTAGCGGTTATTAAAATTCAATAACTCGTGTATTTTAACAACAGAACGTTTATAGAGGGCCATGCTATGATACGTCTTTATTTTATTATGCGAAATAAAATGATAACAGATTTTGTACCTCATGTCCGGACCTTTGTCCGGCGGTTATTGATGTTACTTGTTCAATTGAGGTACATACATACATATTGGTTTTTGAGGGAAGCAAAATTAAATTTTTGTTTCTGTCTCTATTATTAAAGTTATGAATAAAATTGATTGCTGTTTCTTATTTTTAGGCACATTAGATGAAGAAATTGAAGAGACAGTACATAAATAGTATTGAATCATGGACCAGTATTACTTATATTTATTTTCCAAACATGGATGAAAAGGTGGTATCCTGTCCCCTGGCTTCCGATCTGCGTAGTAGATAGAATCGGCGGATATGGATTCCTATTGTTTTGTCGGGAGCTGCATTTTGTGTGGATCATTTTTGAAAGCTTGATGAAATTTTTGGAAACATGGGTGAATTTGGAAAATACTGCGTACAATTCGCATAAATTCGAAAATAAAAAAATAAAAAGGCATCGCAAAACAAGTAGCAAACTTGTTAAAAAAAGGGAAGTTTTACTTTTTCAAGCAGAACCTATACCAAACGTTAAAAGTAAAAACCAGTAGAATTTAACAAGAGGGAGTTGATTCTAATGGTAGAGGATATACTACTCAAAACCGCTCTTATTAAAAATTAAAAATGGTATCGGGGGCTAAAAATGCTTTATAATACTTCATACTCCTTGTTACCGCACAGCAGGGCCGGCGGAAGGGGTGAAACAGCGAAGCAGAATGATGTTTCAGGCGGCATTTTTTTAAGGGCGGCATTTTTAAGAGTTGATTATTAACTTTTTATAAATTTCAGAAATTGAAAATTGCACAAATATCTAAAAAAAAAACATTTTTTTGACCCCGAATGTTTTTAGTGCTTTTATTAATTATTTAGAAATCAACGAGTTGAGCGAAAATTTCCTAAACATGGTAGTATCTTTAAGGATTTTGTTAACCATTCCTGTGTCTGTGGCCAGTGGAGAACGTTCTTTTTCAAAATTAAAAATTATAAAAAATTATTTACGATCAACCATGGCACAGGAACGGTTAACAGACTTAGCAAATCTTGCTATCTAGAAAGATATAACAAATAATTTGGTATACGCTGATATTATTGAAGACTTTGTTAATGAAAAATGTAGAAAAGTTGATATGTGATATGTGTTTTGACATTATTTAGTTTCTTTTTTGTTTTTATTGAATATTTTTTATTTTTGGTTTTATTGGAATATCTGTTTTATTTTTTATGATGTTTCTTATAATTTCTGTTTATTTTTTGCTAAAATATTTTTTTTATTTATTTTTGTCTATTGAAATGTTTTTTTATTTTTTATAACTTTTTATTAATAAATTTGTTATTCCAACGGGCGGTAAGCAAATATTTGCTTCACCTGCCAAATACCCTGGCGCCGGCCCTGGTTAAGTGTTAAAACGTCAAATTGTTTTGAAATAAAAATATTTATAATTCAAATAACCACGTTATCAATNTGCTGTTATTCTAACCCCACATTTTAAGAATTATTTTCACGTACTTATAAATAAAAGTAAACAATTTTATATGTAGGACTAAGCAAGTAAATGTTATAAGAATATTTACATGTGGAATTATATATAAAAAAGTTAGTATTTTCGTAGATTTCAGTACCTAAAACCTTGATGGTTTGATCGTTTTTTGCACCTGTTTATTCGTTTTACTGCGGCGTCTTTGAAAATACTCAGGTGGCATGACATAACATTCCTGTTACTTGATGAGCTTTAGATTATTCAGTTATTAAATGTTTGAAATTATTTGTCTTTGCGGGAAACATTATTTAAAGAATATGGGGCCCTTAATGAAAATTGTAGAAAAGTTGATATGTAATATGTGTAAAGATTCCGTTTTGACATTATTTAGTTTCATTTTTGTTTTTATTGAATATTTTTTATTTTTGGTTTTATTGGAATATCTGTTTTATTTTACTTATTTTTATTTTATTTTATTGTACAACTGGATTTGTAGTTTGCAGTAGTAATTAGTTACCTAGTTAATTAAAAAGTAGACTTACATGACTCTCAATTTCGATGTTATCAAGTTCATTTCGAAATTCATGTAACAGAATAGGAGTCGTATTAGCCTGAAAATATTAAGAATAATTAAACTGTGCAGTATGACAATAAAAAACATTATCATTAAACATACGAAAAATAAAATTATGTACATAATTGGTTTGATATTTTTGTGTGGTGTCATCTCTACATTTTGACTGTAGAATTGTCTCGGCCTTGATTTCCTTTAAGAAAAAAAGTAAATGTAAAAGTTGTAAATATAGAAATATCAACCAATATTTTTTAATGGCAACGACACCATGAACATTTTCATATGTATATTTTAGATAATTTTCATGGCTAATGGCTAAAACCGTCTCAAGAGTTCAACTTTCAACACCCTTTTTACATGAAAATTTCTCTGAACTTAACCGCTTCTTAAAATATCTACTTGCTGTTTTGGAACACCCTTTATAAGAATTCCTTACCAAACCAATAGCCGCTTTCTTTATCTTATCGTTTGATAATATTTGTTTACTGCATCAAATCAAAAATATTACTCCTTACAGTAGATTTTCGTCGGGTTATCAATATAACTCTGCAGACCATAGTATTTTAATTCCATGAAAATAAATTTATACAAAGTATAGAGCTGTACCTTCCAAGTTATTTATATATTTTTAATAAATATGAGATGTTTTTCCAAATCCAAGTTTTAAGTAAACTTAATTAAACTGCAATTAATTATTCAGTTTGTAGTACGTATACCTCATTGTGTGACTTATTGCTTTTCAAAGAGTAGTACGGTATTTAAAATGACAGTACGGCTAAAAAAACACTCACTCATCAGTCCGTAACAATCTGTTGCACTTTGATTTTGAAGCCAATTGCAAGACGATTGGGGAAATCAGCTGTTTCGCTTCATCGTTCGAACGCTTCGTGGTGCGCCAGAGCGTTCCTTGTCAGCAAATGTGATGCAAAGTAGGGCGCCAAGTTAACGGGAGTTAAGGGGTAATTTGCTTATTTTTGAAAGGTCGAGTAATTTTTTTTTCGATTTTCTATCTTAATTAGGCCTTCCGAATACGTGCTTAAAATTAATGACATTATGACTTAATCACACTGTATATCGTCTGGAGTTACTTATTCGTGGCATATTTTTTTATTTATTTGGGTAATTTAAAGGAAATTTAAAAAATTATCAAATAAAGTCTTGGACAATGGGATCAATCAAGGGTTATTCTTTTGAAAATAATGCCTAACCAAAAATCTCTTATTGAAAAAGCAGACAAATAAAAAGTACTAATTTAAAAATTATCATTCCAAGTTCTGATAACAAAAACAGATTGATTTGCGTAATGTCAACAAACTTATTGAAGTATGCGATTTTTTTAAATCAAATTCGTTAATCGAATAACATAAATGCATACAGGGTGCGGCATTATAGATATATCAAAAAAAGTTATTTACAAAAATTGTAGCCAACTTAAAACTGCACATTTTAATATTATTTTTTTGTTACGTATTACCAGGGTGAAACAAACATACTATTTTTTAAATGGGACACCCTATATATTATTTAAAAATGTAATTTAAGCTCATCTTTCCCAACAATATAGAGTTTAATAATGTTATACAGGGTATTTCAAAAGTTATGGTCAATTGCATACGAGAATCATTTCCATTTCAGCGTCTTGTATACCCTAAACAGAATAACTTAACAATAATTTTTTACAGGCATAACTTTTTGATATTGGTATAGTTTTACGAGAAAGTGTTTTATTATCGCACAGTTGAATATGGGCGAGCCAAAACTCGAGCACATAATTTTCTCAATTTTTTTAAATGAATCACCCTGTATTCTATGTTACAAACTGAAAATACAGTTTATGTTCTTTCATTTTTATAAAGCATTCCCTATAGCTAAAATCATTAATTTTTAATATTTACCATTTAATAATAAAAGAGAGTTTTTAAAAAAATTCCGATTACAACACGTTGGCCGTGGGCAAATGACTGTGACAAATTGTTATAAAACATTAGAAAATATCCGTTGTTAAGACGAAATTCTTATAATATTAACCAACTTGTTATAATATGAATTTTTTAAAAACTCTATTTTTGCTATTAAATGGCAAATATCTTAGAAGTTATTGATTTTAGCTATAGGGAATGCTTTATAAAAATGAAAGAACATAAAGTGTATTTTCAGTTTTTAAAATAACATACAGGGTGATTCATTTAAAAAAATTGAGAAAATTATGTGCTCGAGTTTTGGCTCGCCCTATATTCTATATTAGGAAAGTCCATTTTCATAAAATTTGACCGATCCTTTTGGCGCAAAGATTTATATCAATATTTTTTTAAACTTTTTCACAAGTGACAAAATACCTAAATTAGAGAAAAAAATAGCATTATATATCTTCACAAACAATACAGCTTCGCTCATATTGTCTGTGATGTCTTCAACAAAAATTAAATTAGATAAAATACCTATATGTATGACTGAAATAATTATGTCTATTTCTCAGGATTAGGTCTTTTAATCTCAAAATTTTCGAAACAGCATTTTTAACTGAATCCCAAGATCTAGGGACTGGCACAACTATGAACGAAACGAATTTTAAGTTTATAAATCTTAAATCGGGCATTCTATTTTTATACTCACACTTTCGCAGGTACTAGCGCAAGATCGAACTAATAAAAATATCTCCACCATCTCATCAACTAACCAAGCAATAGGGCATAAAACCATTGTCGTAGTAACATTGGGCACACTGTTAAAAAGTAGATGGTATAAATAATAACTTTGGAATAAAACATCGCCCATAGACACAGCTAAGGAACACAAGAGTTGAAAGGCGAAGGTCTTGTTTAATTCTCTCATTAGATGACACAATTTATAATGCATCCTACACAAGTGATAAAGTCTGTCAGTAACTTCTTTTATAAGTTTCACATCTACAAAGAAAGTGGAATTAAGAAACTAATTTAAAAATATCATTAACACTGTGGGTGAGATATAACCTACAGAGCATTAAATGTCATTACTACATTGAGATAATTTTTTTGGTATGGTTAGTAAGGATTCAGTAACCGTAATAAAATATCTGCATTAAATAGGCGTCTTAGTGAATTGCCCTTTTACCACAACGAAATATGTTTTACTAGAACGAACTTACTTGCAATACATAGGTAGAAAGTTTTGTTAGAAATTTTTGTTGCCCCAAGCGAGTCAACTCATTAACCCCAAGTGAGCAAATTATGACTAAACAAGTGCTTTATTTCTTTTTAGTGAATTAAATAGGAAATTTGTTACCCTAAGTAAGTCAGCTCATTAATTGTATCTGAGCAGATTCAATTACTGCTAATGAGTTAAACAATGCATATACAGCGTGTTAATTAAGTGCATAAACTTTAAGGGGTGATTCTTTCAGTGATTTTAAACCAAAAATGTTACCACCAAAACCAAATTAATAATTTTCGAGATATATAATAAAATTTTTTCTAAAATATCTTTGAAGCGTTTCATTTTATTAGAAACACAAACCATTTTTTCAAAAAAAGCTCATGGGATTTTTATGCTGGAAATTAATTAAAATTAAAATTTATGCATTTTTGTTAGAGGTAGCAATTGGTATGGCCTAGAAAAAAAATTGCGCCAATTATTTTCGCGGAGTTTACATGACTATCTTCTATTTAAAATTTTATATTTAGAAGAAAAATCCGTTGAACTTCCTTTGTGGCATGAATAGTTCTACAGTTGTGTTAGATTTAATAAAGTACTTGGTATAATTAACGAAAATTAAAAGTTATAATTCGAAAATTGTTCGTTTTTTCATATATTTATATTTGTGTGATTGCAACTACTTACCATTCAAACAAATATTCTTGTAACTGTTGGTCCTTAACAGAACTGTAATTATTTCATTTACTTTTTCAAATCTCAAGTACATGTGAGAGCTTAACATAATAAATAAATTTTGAACATAGGACTTGCCAAGTGTAGCTGTAATCAATGTAATTTTCTGCCTGATGTCAAGCTTCAATGTATTCAAAAGAAGCCCAAATTTTATCAGTACAGATAATGGAACAAAGAAAAAATAGCACCTGTTTTTCTTTTTTACGCTTCGTGTAAAGTTTTGTGGTATGTTATGCCTGAGAAAGGTAACATCAGCGGAAGCAAGAAGTGTGAGATGAGACTCCAATTTGCTTCTTAAAAGAAAGGAAAACAGTACACTTTGATAGAATTGAATTTGTAAAACGCTTATTCCCAGGAGGATAATGAATTTGTTTAAGGAGAACATTTTCTGACTTTCTATGTAAATGCTGAATATGTTATGTAACATTAAAAACATATATAATATGATCATTGCAACGAAGTAGGACCAGTGCAATGTATCCTTTATGCGATAGAATAAAAATGTTTTCTTGTGCCGTACAAGAGGAGCTTCTCCTATAATCATTCCAAAGATGTAATTCAAGTTTAAAGAACTTAAAATATTTTCTAACGCTTCTTCATGTGCAGCGTACTTATTTCGTTGGAAAATATCGCCTACCTTCATTTTGAAAATTATTTTTACAGTTTACAAAAATATCCGTCTTACTTTTTAACCTAATTTGATGATCATGATTATGCGTTTAGGAAAAGTATCAATCAGCATGATTAAATTCATTTATTATTCAAAACAAACTTACTGGAATTTATCATTTATACCAATTTGAAAACTAACAATAATAATGTACCTAATAGTATATATTATTACATAATAAGTAATGCATATACAGGGTGTTTCAAAAAGGTTATGCCAAACTTGAGGGGGTTATAGAGGACTTCGCGGAAGAAAATTTTTCTATATAGGGTGGTCCGTAAGTAATGGTCCATAGAGATATACTAGATTTTTTACTTCAAAATATTACGATTGGAGCCAATATGCCTTTAAAAAATGTTGATGACAAAAAAGATACAGGGTGTCAAAGTTGGAAATTAAAAATTGAATTTTCGTAATAATTATAATATTTTTGAGTGTATGAACGTGAAAATTTAGGGGTAGATGTTTCTGTATACGAGAAATCATAATTTGTTATATATTTCGATGTATCTTCTAGAGGGCGCCACATACGCCGTGTTTATGACGTAAATACGAGCATAATTTTTTTATCCACAACGTTAACGCTTCTTTTTTTTAAAAATCTTAAACCTACATTATTTTCGTGAAAAAATGGTATACTTGTCATTAGCTCTAGAAATTGTCCGTTTTCAAGAAAAACGCATTTCAACAATCTGCTGCATGTTTCATTACAGGAAATTTTATCGTAGTGTGCGACAATGCCAAGACAGTTTTGACAATTAGAAAAAATCATTGTGACAGTTAGCAATTATTTCAAATTGTATTTATTAATTTTTGGTAAAAATCAATTAAGTATTTAAAAGAAAATAACGAATTATGCCGAGACATAATAATTTCTCGAATTTGGAAATGAGAGATATGACGGTTGTTTATTGTCAACAAAATTTCAATGGACGTGCTGCGCAACGTGAATATTGCCGAAGATTTCCAAACAGATTGCAACCTGGTAAACGACTGTTTCAAAATCTATTCAGAAACTTAGGCGAAAGTGGTTCATTTCGTCCTAAACGTGATAATTTAGGTCGACCAAAAATGATTACGCCTGACCAGGAAGACGAAATACTAATTCGCATTGCAGATGATCCACAAACTAGTTCAAGACGATTAGCTGCAGCCACGGGAATTAATAAAACATCAATTTTAAAGACATTACATGAAGAAAAATATCATCCATATCATTTTACACCAGTTCAAAATTTATTACCTGTCGATCTTCCTTCAAGATATCAATTTGCAAGTGATATTCGGAACAAGCAGAATACTGACTATACATTTGTCAACAGAATATTGTTTACAGATGAAGCGACATTTACTCGCCGAGGTATTTTCAATTTAAGAAATAAGCATTGTTGGGAAGTTCAAAATCCTCATGTAACTCGAGAACGGCACTTTCAACATGAATTTAAGATTAATGTTTGGTGTGGGATCATTGGAAACCATTTTCTAGGTCCATATGAGTTGCCAGGAAATTTAAATGGTACAAGTTATTTAAATTTTTTAGAAAATAGCTTTGTTGATCTATTGGATGCGTTACCACTGAATTTGAGGCAAAATATGTGGTTCATGCAAGATGGCGCTCCGCCACATTTTACTCATCAAGTAAGAACATATCTAAACCAACACTTTCCTGAACGTTGGATTGGCCGTGGTAGTATATTTCCTTGGCCGCCACGTAGTCCAGACTTCAACCCTTTAGATTTTGGTGTATGGGGCACAATGAAGGAAATTGTTTATAAAAACACTATAAATACTCGCGTCCAACTTTGGCAAGAAATTAGTAATGCCTCAACTTTTTTTGATCCAATGGTATTATTTAATATTAGACGATCTTTCATAAATCGTATGGACAAGTGCATCGAGGTGAATGGTGGACATATTGAAAATTTACTTTGAAACATTTCCTATTTTTCCTTAGGTACATATTCAGTTTTTTACTTGTTAAACGCTTGATAAAATCATAGTTTTGTTTAATTAAATTTCTCCTTTAACTGGTTTTGTAAATAAAATTTATCAACTTGATAATTTGTATTTTAATGTGTACAAAGGGATAATGTTTAATTGTCAAAATTAATGTTTTCATTAGCGCACACTACGATAAAATTTCCTGTAATGAAACATGCAGCAGATTGTTGAAATGCGTTTTTCTTGAAAACGGACAATTTCTAGAGCTAATGACAAGTATACCATTTTTTCACGAAAATAATGTAGGTTTAAGATTTTTAAAAAAAAGAAGCGTTAACGTTGTGGATAAAAAAATTATGCTCGTATTTACGTCATAAACACGGCGTATGTGGCGCCCTCTAGAAGATACATCGAAATAGATAACAAATTATGATTTCTCGTATACAAAAACATCTACCCCTAAATTTTCACGTTCATACACTCAAAAATATTATAATTATTACGAAAATTCAATTTTTAATTTCCAACTTTGACACCCTGTATCTTTTTTGTTATCAACATTTTATTAAGGCATGTTGGCTCCAATCGTAATCGTATTACGATTACAATCGTAATATTTTGAAGTAAAAAATCTAGTATGTCTCTATGGACCATTACTTACGGACCACCCTGTATAAACACCTACTCGAACATGAACCGTTTTGGCCCTGGAGCAATCTATGTCCAAAAACGTAATGTTATTACGTTGACCACAAAAGGCTAAGGATAACTCAAAAATAATACATTTATAATAATTGTTCAAAACGGTTTATGGTAGATTGTTCTTTAGTTCGATGCAAAACCTCAATGACCGCTGTCCGTGCAGTTCGTGGATGTCAACTTCCTAAATCTGGTTTAAAGTTGCCTTTTTCTCTTAACTGACGATGGATTGGCGAACTTGTTGTTCGTCAAGAACTCGGCGAATCGGTAAGTTCAGCTCATCTTGCTTTGCCTTAAATAAGATGCATGTCTGCATACTCTTCGAAAGTTAATTGTTCCATTTCAACTTAGAAGCGAAATTTCGTCACAAACAAAACAAATGTGAAACACTCAATTAGGTCCGATCATTTATCGTTTTTTTGCTTCGGGGACAAAACGGTTCATTTCCGACTAGGAGTTTATATGCAAAAATTTTTTACCACGATGTCCTCTATATCCCCCTCAAGTTTGGCAACACCTTTTTGAAAGACCCTATATACAGGGTGTTCGGAAAGTCATGTCAATAATGAAGGGGCATACAGAGGAGATCAAAATAGATGTAGTACTTCATATAAATTTTTTCTTATCGGGTTTAGTTGTGGAGTTATTCGCCTTCAAAGAAAGAAGTTGGAAAAAAATTCCAATTATAACTTCTAGGTCTTTACCATGACAACAATGAAATTTGGGCAA